AAAGTGCAATTCATAAGACGGTTTATTGCCAAATTAACCTTGACTTGTGAACCACTATTTGGTCTCCTAAAGAAAGGAAAAAAATTCCAATGGGATGATTGAGGCCAGGTTGCTTTTGAGCAGATCAAGCAGCATTTACAGAACCCACCCGTGTTGTCACCGCTACAGCCGGGGAAGCCGTTGATTTTGTATCTGTCAGTCACCGACACGACTATGGGCTGCACCCTTGCGTAGGAATCTAAAGATAGAGTGGAGAAAGCCATCTATTACTTGAGAAAGAAGATGTTGGAATATGAGACCCGCTACACCCCGCTAGAGAAGGCTTGCTTGGCCTTAGTATGGGCTACCAGGAAATTGAGGCACTACCTGTTAGCTCACTCCGTAATTCTGGTTTCGAGATTAGATCTCATCAAATATCTCTTCAAGAAATCAGCACTTATGGGTAGGCTACCCCATTGGTTGCTTCTTCTCTCTAAATTTGATTTAAAGTATATGACTCGCAACTTTGTGAAAGGTAGAGCGGTAGCAGAGTTCCTAGCTGATCACCAAGTGGAAGGAGATGAAGCAGTAAAGTATTTGTTCCCAGATGAGGGTATTCTGCAGGTTGAAGAAGAGATTTGGACCATGTACTTTAACGGAGCGTCTAATTAGTACGGTTATGGAATAGAGGTGTTGCTGATAGCACCCGACAATTCCCACATACCTTTAGCCTTCAAACTCCGATTCAAGGTATCAAACAACGAAGTAGAATACGAGGCATGTATCGCTGGCTTGGAAGCCGCCCTAGAACTAGGGGCAAAACAGTTGAACGTCATTGGGGACTCGAACCTGGTTATGTCTTAAGCAAAAGGAGACTGGAAGGTTAAGGAAGATAGGATAAAAATCTATCACCAAACCCTGGATGTTCTGATTCCCAGGTTTGAGAAGCTAACCTTTACACATCTGTTAAGAGAGAACAACAGGTTCGCTGACGCTTTATCAACTCTATCTTCCATGATAGACATCCCTTTGGGAGTCCACATGCGTCTGATCATTATTGAACAGAGATATGTGCCAGCCTACGAACTTATTGCCGCAATAGATGAAGTACAAGATCAGCACCCCTGGTATCATGATATCTGAAACTTCTTGGAAAATGAGACTTATCCACTAGGGGCAAATGCCAAAGATAAGAGGGCAATACGGTGAATGGCTGCTCAGTTTATCATTTGTGGGGGTAAAATGTACAAACGAGGCCATCTATGAATGCATAAACTGTGTGTCGATGTAGAAGAGTCGAAGCGCCTAATGAAGGCCATCCACGGAGGAAAGTGCAGATTGCACATGAGTAGAGTGATGCTAGCTCGGAAAATTCTCAGGCAGGGTTACTACTGGTCAACCATGGAAGAGGATTATATCGGTTTTGTTCGGCAATGCCACAAATGCCAAATTCATGCAAATCGCATGAACATCCTACCGTCGATGCTATACAACATGACTTCACCATGGCCATTTTCAGTCTGGGGAATTGATGTTATCGGGCAGTTACTCCGAAGGGGTCAAACATGCATTAGTATATCCTGGTGGCAAGAGACTATTTTACAAAGTGGGTCAAGGTCCAATCCTACGCAGTGCTGAATGCGTCGCACGTAGCCAAGTTCATTAGGAATAACATCATCTGTCGTTATGGGGTCCCGAATGAGATCATCTCGGACAATGGTTCCCACTTCAAGAAAGACGTGATCGACTTGTTGGAAAAATACAACGTGGCTTTTCATAAGTCGTCCATGTATCAGCCGCAAACCAACGGAGCTGTTGAGGCCACAAACAAGAACATCAAACACATTCTCCAGAAGATGGTGGAGACCTATAGGGACTGGCCAGATAAGTTGTCGTTTGCTCTTTGGGGCTATAGGACTTCAATTCGGACATCCACTGGGGCTACTCCGTATTCTCTACTTTATGAGATGGAAGCTGTTCTGCCAATTGAAGTTGAAGTTCCGTCACTGCGGGTTATGGCTGTGTGCCAGATAGCGGAAGTGGATTGGCAGGAAAGCAGGTTCAAGGAACTAATGTTGTTCGACGAGAGGAGGCTGAAAGCACTGTACCATGTCCAAGGATATCAACGCAGGATTGCTAGGGTTTTTGACAAGAAAGTTAAGTCGAGGAATCTGAAAGAAGGGGATCTGGTGCTCAAAGACAACCGAGCTCCCATCCATAACCCTAGAGGCAAGTTCAGACCTAATTGGACTGGTCCTTACATCATCAAATCTATTTGGTCGGGTGAAGCTGTCATTCTTATGGATCTAGATGGCCTTGAATTCTCCCAACCAATCAACATGGACAAGTTGAAGAAATATTACCCTTAAGAGGCTCGCTAGGCCGAAAACCCGAAAGGGCGACCTAGGCAAAAGTTAGAGCACAAAAAATTAGAAAAAGGAAAAACTGAGCTCGTAAGGTTGAAAATCCAGAAAGGACAACCTTGGCAAAAGTTAGAGTGCAAAAGGAGAGTGTTAATATCTGAGTGAACCCGAACCAAAATACGTAAGGCTTGATTCTCATCTTTGGGATACGTAGGCAACTTCATTCTGAAGTCCAGCCATAAACACTTCCAAATCAACTATATCCATGAGATTGTTCTAGTCATCTTTGTCTTTTCTACATCCAAGAGTTCGGTTGTGGACATCACTATGAGAGCTGGTTACAGTATAGTGCAGTGTAGTGCTATTCAGACAAGGGGCAACTTTTTGTTCGTTGGATTCGGGGTTGTACATCTCGAGGATAGACTCCAAGTGTGTCCAGTCGTGATTCTTATCGAAAATGGTTATGAAAAGTTTTAATAAAAGTTGATTTTGTTCAAATTAATCTTTTTACAACTTAGACCATTTTGGACCAAATAGAAAATTTTCAGTGCCCACAATTCCAATTTCATTGATTTCAATGCAAAGTTCTCTAACTCTCGATACAAATCAAAGTTTTTTTTTATTATATTCAAAAGGGAAACTTGAAAGTTAGATCAAAGCAATAAACTTGGGGCACAGATGAGTCAGGTGTTCCTGCGTCCCCTCCTAGAGCTTGTGGAAGCTTCAGATGCTAAAGTAGGCCCGGTTCGCGCCTCATCTTCAAGCCAAGCTATGCATTCGCTGAAAAAGGCATAACTAAAATTGGGAACGGGAGCTAGAAGTTCTCTTGTCCTTCATGCAGTAGGATATCAAGCTAGTTGTGAACCTCGGATTAGAAATGGAGTCGGGTACTCTATCCCCTCTTCTGTGCAGGTCTGGTCGTGCCCGAACTGACACTTTAACCGGAACGGAAAGTAGAAGGCACAGTGTGTCAAGCCAATCAGTTGAATGCCAGGTTGGCGAGACATGTTGTAGCTCATCTCAGGTAGATCAAACCAGGAGCAACGCCAAGTAATGTTGGTAATAGACTCGTTTGGGAAATCAACCAGCCATGGGCGAAAGAAATAGCCTCGTGCTGAATAAGCAGGGCAAGAGTCCACCACTTTCAACCTGTCCATGAGCCATATCTGGGAAGGGATAAAAAAATAAGAGATATTAAAGAATAGAGAGATGTATGTGGAGTGAAAAGTGAGAAAAAGGTTTTGTGAGAAAAACAGAGGTTGAGGGCTGAGTGATATGAGAAACACATGTGAGAAGGGTGGGAAACATTACCTGCATGAGTAGTGGACTTCCTACGAACTTGGTTGTCTCCCGGGGATGGAAAGCATCCAAGCCCGTCAAAGTCTCGACTAGTGTCAAGCCAATGCAGCTCTTGCCCTCTTTCAAGCCTTGAGCTACTTCTATCAAGCGAACGCTAGACCCTCCGAAGCCTGGGGCAAGTAGGAAATGAGCCAACATACACAAGTAAAGGGCATGCTGCTGAAAACCTTGCCAAAGACGGTTCTCACGGTCGCCGACGTCAGAAAATCGGTGAATGAGACTGGGAATATCCAGCTCCCCGTTGTGAACCAAAGATCAGGCATTGTGTAAACAAAGCCCACACATCCTTCCTAAAGCTTGGATGTGACTAAAACAGGACTGGGGCAAGATTTCCTCATCACACCGGGATTCCATTAGAACTTGGAATTCTTCAATTGTAGGGCACACATCTTGCCCCCTGAAGTTAAACACATGTGTAACCGGGTTCCAACATCTAGCCGTGGCCTACAGCTTGAAGGAACGGATAACACAGCGGGGTACGAATCAACGGGAATAGTGCATTTATCCCGAAACCCCAGAAGTTTACTTTTTTCGAGCCGTCCAGAGTTGCAATCCAAATTGAGAGTTTTTCGGTGAAGAATGGCTCCATTTGTGACAAAAATAGAACTAAAATGAAGAAACTACGAAGTCCCAACTTTTGTAGAAGATAAGGTGCTGAGTGGAAGACTAGTGGCAGCAATCTGGAGGTTACCAGCACTAGTGGCCGACTGACCAGTGTTGGTGGCCGACCGGCCAGTGCTAGTGGCTGGCAGCCACTTTTGGTGGCCGACAACCTCTGCCTATAGCCGACATAATTGCTATGGCCTTCCTATGTGTTAGGAAGTTGAGAACCTGTGTTTTGTTCTACTCTTGGTGCATTTTGCTGCCTTGTTCGAAGAGTTTTGTTGAGTCGCTCTTTTTGTAGTTTCTCTTTGCTTATTGAGTTGTTTTGTTGTTTTACTGATCAAGTTGTTGTTTTGCTTATCGAGTTGTTGTTTTGTTTATCGAGTTGTCGCATTCGTTGTTCATTAAGTTGTTTTATTTTGTTTGTTTTGTTTTAGTTGGTTCATTACCTGATTAAGAAGTTCCCAATACAGTGTACAATGTTCAAAATTCCATCAAGTCCTATTTTCGTGTAAAATGGTGTAATACGATGTTCAGAATGCAAAACACAACATGCTTTCATCAAAAAGTCAATTTTTCATTCCAATCGTGGTTTCTTTTTACAAAATAGTACAAGTTTTTAAGAAAATAAAACTGTACAATGTGCTAACACTACCAGCTAAAAGAAAAAAGGACAAAAGAGACTAAGCAAAACATCTAAATCAGTGCCATCCACCTCAAGCGAGAGGCCCTCTTCGTCCTCTTCCTCAGCATGGACTCAAAGCTATCACCATCAACGCCGTTGTCAAAGGCCCCCAAGTCTGAGCTAGCTACTGAACTGACCTCAGCATTACCTTCGCTTTCAGAATCTAAGCCAACATCGCTCTCTCCATCCTCAGATGACTCTAACTGTGGACTCGCTGCCTCCTCGTCCTCACTTGTCTTATCATCATCATCATCTAAAATGGGCTCTGAACGGCCACTCTCATCACGGATGCCCCTAGCTCTACCTCGACTGCGAGCCGGATCCTCCCGTCTCTCTCTCCTTGCTGTCGGAGAAGGTACAGATGGTCCCATTACAGCTCCCGCTGGAATGTCCAGTGTGCCTGGGATTTGAAAAGGGCAGTTTGTCAAATACATCAGTCATGGTGTATACCTGATACAAAAAGATGCAGTGCAAAATACAATGTTTGAGTATAGTGTTTGAAAGTAGTGTTCAAATGTAGTGTTTGAGTACAGTGTTTGGGTGCAACGTTTGAATGCAGTGTGCCAAAACAGTGCAGTCTAGAACAGATTATGTTTGAGATACTGATGTATCGGCAGGAAGTCTCATGGCATGAAGTGCAAACTGAAGTAAATTAATGGAATCTTGGAGAGGCTGAGCAGGTTCATACTCCTCCGCACCATCTCCATCAAGGAAGCCACCAGCTCGAGGACCTACCCGGTGTACTCTATAGGTGCCTGCAAGTGTGTTGAGAAGATTAGTGTTCTATAGAGCATAACTGAAATCAAGTAAATATGCAAAACGAAAAGTATGGCACATACTAAAGTCGGGGCTCGAACCCCTACAAGCTCATATCCGGCTGGTGCGGGCTCAATGGGAATTTGGCAAGCCTCCCCGGAATGTTACCGGTAGGTCAATGTAGTTGGCATCTTCAACCACCCAGCCCACTATCTCGCCCTTGAACCTCTCCTGCCATAGGTCCTGGTCACCCCGGCCCCTCTGCCTCTCTCTCCCGCAGCTGGAGCCCTCGGTCTCTCATCTCCACAGGCCCCGGTCAAAGATGGCATAAGGTATGTCTGGATGAAGACTGTGTAGTCACCCTTGACTCATAAGAAGTCGGCGTCCCAGCCACAGGTGAAATCAATCATCTCTTGGGAAGTGTACCTCTCTGTGACTCTCATATATGTCGAAGGCGGCATCGAAACTACCGGCTCGGGCAAGCCAATGGTTTGACGTAAGAATCGCCCCCCTAAGAACCACGCTCGACAAACTAGGCCCTCCAGCAGGTTCCGGAAGCGAGAAGCCTCTCGGGCACTAGCGAACTGATCTTTGACTCCCTTAGGCATATCATCGCCTAGGGCTGCCAAGTGAACTGTAAATAAAGAAGGTACAGATTGTTAGCTATCATTAGGTATTGCAATATGAGTCAGAATTGAAGGAAAGCGAAAATAAATAGTGAAGCTTGAGTTACCTCAGCCGCGGTCACAATCTCGAAGTTTTGGCGGAAGAAAGGAAAGGACTCCCGAGACCTCCGCTGGCATCTCCCGTCGTACCGGTGAGAGTACGGCACGACAGGTGGCATCTCCACCTCTAGCTCTGGGGCAAGTCTCGGAAAGTAGGCGTACACCCATAGCTACAGAAAGCGAAAAGGGCAATAGTGAGTATACAATAGACAGAGTATGCAAAGTCGAAAGCAAATTGTGCGTGTGAGGTGTACAGTGTGTGCAGTGTACGGAGTATACAAAGCAGAAAGCAAATTGTGCATGTGTGGTGTACAGTGTGTGCAGTGTATAGAGTATGCAAAGCAGAAAGTAGATTGTGTGTGTGGTGTACAATGTATGTGTAGTGTACAGAGAATGCTAGGCAAAAAACGCAACAAGAAATACAAAACAGAGAAGTAAGGCGTACCTCCCAGGCCCTCCAGTAGCTTCCTATCAAATACCCGCTCCTGTGAAAGGTTGAGCTCACGTACCTGTACAAGGTGGCCAAGCCAGCGCCGCCCCAATCAAAGAGTCGAACTCGAGACAGATCCACCAGAGCACTCATGAGGTATAGCCCGACAGTGTTCGCCCTGCCGGCGAACAAGGTAGTGCCAAATAGGAATATCAAGAAACCTCGAGCATACTGCTCGATCTCCTCTCGGGTCGCTGGCGCCGTTCCTCTGTAGTGGTTTGCGAACTAGGAGTATCGAACCATCCCTAATCGGGAGATAAGTGGGCGAATCCCCAGTAGGTAAATCTGAGCGGCCTCCTACTCGCCCATATCAGTGTCATAAGGAATCGGATGATCCCCCACCTCTATGCCAGTGAGCATAGAGAAGTCAAAGAGAGTCATCGTCATCTCCCCTGTGGTAGAGAAGTGAAAGGAATCGGTGGTATCCCACCACCTCTCTACCAAGGCGCCCAGTAAAGGCCGGCTCGCTATGAGGCATGAGAGCCCATGCAGAATGAGCCGAAGTTGGCCTCATCAATGATGTGGTGAACGTCGTCAGGGAGCTCCATGTACCACTCCCTCATAGAGGTGGTCCCGTATCCTCTGATGGCACGTGAATCTTCATGTGATTAGGACAAGCCATTAAAACGTAATGTGAGTACTACAGTGCAAAAGTATGTTTGGGACAAGTAGGTGCAAGGCAGTGCATAAATGTGTTTCCGATGAGCAGATGAAAGACAGTGTGAGCCATGTAAGAAATGCAACGTACATTGCAGAAAAAAACAAGAATGCAATGTATACCTCAGAGGCGCCATAAGATATATGTGACTCCGTCCAGTAAGAGGTCCTCTGGTGCACCTCATGCAAACCCCCATACTGGCGGATGCTATCAGGCGGTAGCACATGTATCTCGAGATGATATGTCGTCGGGTCAAAAGGTCGAATGCTGAGTGGCAGTGGCTCGAACTCCGAATCCACCTCCATCTCTGGAGAAGCTCCATCGTGTGGAATGTCGTCCGCCATCTCAAGAGAAGATGAGAAAATGGTCAAAAATGTGGAAAAAGGGTGAAGAATGCCAAAAGTCAACAAAAGTCAACTATTGGAAGAAGAAAATGGAAGAAAAGGATGGAGCCCGGGAAAGGGCACTGAATCCAAGAGAAACTTGGGGAAAACAAACCCCGAGTGGTGGAAATCAAGAAGGAAACCCTAAAATCAACTTTCAATCGGTTCAAAACAAAGTAAACAATGAGGGTTTAGCGAAGAAAACGTTTATGGTGCATTGGAAAACGCATGTAGGGCTCGAATCTAAGGAAAATGAAGGTCTAGAGAGGGTGGAGGATATTTTTGGGCTTAGGGTTGTATGGAAATGAAGTGTGAGTGTGTAAATATAAAGACCCAAGGTAAATTCCCCATTTTGCCCCGAATCTGCCATTTGTGGCCGACCGGCCACCTCTAGTGGCCGATAGCTTCTTCTTGTGGCCAATGGTGCCTAGGAGTGGCCGGTGGGTGGCCGGCACCCCTTCTTGGTGGTCTTTCAGTCCCCAATGTTCTTATTTTGTTGTTTTCCCACTGATTTGGTCCCTATTTCCTGAGAGATGCAAGGAAAAAGTTACTGTTGAGCTTGGGTTCTCTTCGCGGAAACTTGAACTATGTTCTTGGTGATCCTTTTTTTTCTCTTATTGGACGGAGCGTATCTTTTTCATATCCTTTCGTATATCGCAAGATCGGAGAGTTACTTTTTGAACATGTTGCATTAGAGCTTTTTTGTCGTATATGTAAGGCATGCGTCACGCATTTTGTACTTTAGTACATTGAACATGTATTCACAAATGTTGGATTGAAGATGCATTGTTGTTATTTTGCATAGAATATGCATGTTGCATTGAAGATGCATCGTTGTTCTTTTGCATAGAGTATGCATGTTGCATTGAAGATGCATTGTTGTCATGTTTGCATAGAATACGCATGTTGCATTGAAGATTTATCGTTGTTCTTTTGCATAGAATATGCATGTTACGTTGAAGCATTACTCTATCTATTGTATAGAATATACTCTCTCTTGCGCTGCATAGAATATTCTTCTGTTTTGCTCCTTGCATGTTGTGCATGAAACATATCTCTAACATTGTGTCATGGTTATTCGTCCTGTATTATTATTGTATTGTACCTGTTAAGTTCCTTTCTTATGCAGGCATGATATTGTATGTACGGTTCACCAAAGGAACTCCAGGTGAGACTGCTCCAGTCCTTTGATCACCCCTTTTGGTTAGAAACACTCGGGTACGCCCAGTGTTTACACCATCCCTTGTTGGTTAGAAACACTCGGGTACGCACGGTGTTTACACCACCCCTTGTGGTTAGAAACATTCGGGTATGCCCGGTGTTTACACCACTCCCTTGTTGGTTAGAAACACTTGGGTATGCCTGGTGTTTACACCACCCCTTTATGGTTAGAAACATTCGGGTACGCCTGGTGTTTACACCACTCCCTTGTTGGTTAGAAGCACTCGGGTACGCCCGGTGTTTACACCACCTCTTTGTAGTTAGAAACATTCGGGTACGCCCAGTGTTTACACCACACCTTGCTTTGGTTAGAAACATTGGGGCGTGTTCCCGATGTTTATACCACCCTCTTGGTTGGAAGCGTTTGGAACGTATTCCGACGCTTATACCGCCTTGCTTTGGTTAGAAACATGGGGGGTGTTCTCGATGTTTATACCACCCTCCTGATTAGAAGCGTTTGGAACATGTTCCGACGCTTATACCACCTTGCTTTGGTTAGAAACATTGGGGCGTATTCCTGATGTTTATACCACCCTCCTGGTTAGAAGTGTTTGGAACGTGTTTCAATGCTTATACCACCCTGTAGGCACCCTATTTTTTATCATCCTCAAGACTTGGATGTGCTTGCAGGTACATCCAGCAACAAGGTTGATTGCTCGTCGAGTGTTCGACTTTCGCGACGAAATGCTCCAGGTTTGATCCTTCTAAACCCTATTTCCATTATGTCTCATTTTTGGACCATGTGTTGGTCTTTTCTTTGTGGTATTCTAGGTGGCTTGCCGGCCATCAAAGAGGACTGTCGACCATCAATTTGTGCCTAGCAGCCATTGATGAGGCCTGCCGACCAGCCATTAGGCACTGTCAGCCACCACTGATGGCCGGCAGATCACCATGTTTCAGCAGATATTATGTTAGATATTTTGAGCCAGCTGTGGCTCCTTGAGCCATCCTCCATGCACGTGTATGGAGGGATGGAGGCAGGTTTAAGCTTGTCAAGCAAGCTTATGTTTGCATTGCTTATATAAGGAGAGGCCCCTCTCCCTCTCCAAGGGTTCAGAAAATTTAGAGACAAAATATCTCTCTCTCTCTTTAGAATCCTCACACTCTCTATATATTGTGCTCAATAGTGCTGTAAGGTGTATTTTCTTCACACTTTTGCACTACAACACCTAGTAAAACACCTCTATCTTGTTGCTGAGGC